GTTTCCGGTTCTGCATCCGCAACAGAGGCACGGAGCCGCGCCTATCCACGCCTTCGAAGCGACGCCGTGATAGTCGATACATAGATCGGGCGTGCTTATTAACCATATTTGGGTAGACGATTAATAGTCGCCGGAATATTCAACGAGGCCGGATTATAATTTTGTTGCACGCCCGTCGTAATACACCGCCCGCGCCGATTAACGCAGAGCTGTGTTTAACGATCGTATTGGTCCGATACAGCCGACCAAGCTAGCGCCGCAATTTCATCGGTGGCACTAATGCGATGTAAATGTGCTTGATAACAATTACGTTCTACGTGCATCGGACGGCAACGAATCGACGGTGGAATCTGCGATGTTCCTTCGCAAGCTCGATATACTACTTGCAGCGGAGCACGAAACTTCGAGGGAAGATGTTGGCATTAAGAAGAAACAAGCTCAACAGCATGGATGCAAACGTCTGGGTTTCGTGACAGGCGAGCCGTTATTAACGACTTGGTTCGTTGTCAACGAAACCTGCACGATCTGCAACCACATCGTCGGTGCGTCACCAGCGTGGATCGACGCTTTTTCATTTTGTTAAATAAATATCAAGCGAAACAATCTTCGTGTATGTATACAGCTGCGAGAACCGGGGTGCAAAAACGTGATGAAGAAAAAAAATAGAACGCAACCCGATTCTGCTCTGTCGGATGACGACGACGACGGTGAAAAAAAATCTTGAGAAAAAATGACGCTAGGGCGAAGCGCGGTCGCCCAATGATTAATACCTGTCCCCGTGGCCGATGAAAAAACGCGGTCGCGAAGCATAACGATGGCCGGGACGCTTAATCGTTAATATTAATGAACCGGCGCAGTGGTAGGATTAAAAATACGACGGAGTCGAAGGTTCCGTCGTGAACGATACGAAATCTCGAGCGAATTACACACGGCGGGTGTATTAGTTTATTAAGGAGCTTCCCTCGGTGGAGTTTATTTCCGCATGGCGCGCGTGAGTTCATTTCACCGGAGCGGAGCGTTGGAGTGCTTAGAGGGAGGCAGGCAAGTAAAACAGAAAGATCCCCGGGAGTTAGCGTGACTGGTAACCACACGCTCGGAGAGCTCGAAAGATCCTAATCGTTAACGATCACACGGTACTCGCGCTAGTCGCGCTACACACGCTCGGCCGCGATGGGGTGAGCAGGTCGATGGGCGAGACGAGCCAAGGCGGGGCTGTATCGTAGGAAAGGAAGAACGGAAGACACTTGAGGTCTACTTAGGGGTTTACTTAACTCGAGATTAACTCGGAGTTAATTCACTTAGAAGGAGTTGGCCCCGACACCGCTTCGGGCTGCTATTAGGTATTATCACTTGCATCAGTATTACCAGTTTACCGGGGTCACGTTGCCACGGAGCATGTAGCAATCTCTTTCTCGCTCTCGGGAGTCGATAACCGGTTAAACTTTGACCCTACATACCCTCTCGTGCCACATCTTTTTCGGTGCTCTCCTTCTGTATTTGTTTTCAAACGGAAAAACTGAATTTTCGCTATGCATAGGTATGTGTATACATTCGTACTTAAATATGTTTAAGATGAAAATGCATTACTGTAGTTGCTTCCTCTTAAAAATCTAAATAAAACTATTAACAATTTGTCGTGTTTTTTCGTCAAAACGTATTATGACAAAGTCTTTTATTGGCGAATCTGTGGGATTATCACATCGATTCAGTAATAGATAGTTCTATATTCTAAAGGGTTAATATTCAATTATATTAACGCAATTATCGTTCTCTCTTGGTACACAATTTGCCAGTATTTACACTCGTGCGCTTCCACGGTGTTACAAAGAGGCGCGTGAGCGCGATACAAATTCTATCGAGTCCAACTTGAACGAACGGGGTCGGCCGAACCAATCGGAAATGTGTCGCGTATTGGCCATTAACGGGACAGATCGAGCGAGGGCACTCTTCGCTCTGAGCCGGTCATTTGAACGTCGAAGCCCGAAACGTGAAACTTAACAAGCGGCTCGCAGGTCTCGCTATATATATTGGAAGGGCCCAGCATAATAACGAGCCGGACCGCGATTGTCTATCATCTGCGAATGACTGGAACACGTGTCGTCCTCGGGCGCACCCACGCACGCCGCGATCTAGCGTCACCGTTTATGCCAGGTGACCCATGCGTGTGCACACACGTCGACCTATCCACTCCAGGTGAATTCCGGTCCGTTCAATACCGTCTCTCTTTAACCTACCCTCTCTTTCTCTCGGTATGAATCGGTCCCCGCATGAATAGCGATACCGAATCGTTGGTCGCACAGGCGCGAATTCATATCGCTTGGGCGAGAATCATTAAAACGTCACAAACTGTACCTGTCAGGCGGATCGTGAAAGGGGTAACGCGCGCGTAGGCGCGATGCAACACGGCGCGCGGCGTGCGGTGAAGAATTTTTCGCGTCGCCGATCGTGCGTCACGAGACACGGGAGCGGGGCGTTATTTACGCGGCAAATGCCAAAAACATTAGAGAGAATCCAACTTTTTTTCCTCGCTCGTATATTTATTTTTGATCCCCACCCGTGTTGTGCGTTCAGTGTTTTTTTATTTCGCGTGTATTTTTTTTTATTCCTTTTTTAAGTTCTCCCACGATCCCTCCGTGACACCCCAGAGATCGAAAGCGGCGGTTGTCGAAACGCGAATTTGTAGTTCGTTGATCACACGAAATCGACTCCTGTCGTTTTTTTGAAAATCGTTTTTTGACGTGCAACACGCGCCGGTCAAAATAGAACGCCATGAATGACGCTCGGAAGGAACGTTAAAAAACTGGCTGGTGCGAGCGATCTAGCAAATGACCGGTTTGAATAAAAAAAGTCAGAAAGGAACGATTAATTCGATTCGAAGTGGGACGTGTGCAGTAGCTCTTTTTCATACGACGGCTGGCATAGCTTTCGAGTTACGAGGTTCGATTATTCGAGGTAAATCGCTGCTACATATGTACATACATGTACGCGCTTCATCCGTTCTCATTGAACGCTGGCCTCCTTGGCACAATACCTAGGCTCGCCATCGCGACCCTATTACTTCGTCGAACCATTTCTGTTCTTCAATTACTCGATACCTCCCACGCCTGCCCCTTCTTTTTATCATCCACGTTCCCCATCGGCCGTCCTCTGACATCAGACGTCCCCCTGCCCTTCCGCTACCGCTTCACCTGTACTTACGCCGTAGTTCACGTTATTAAGGGTCATCCTATCTACCCCTTGCGTTGTATTCAACCGAGCCGGGATCGATTTTCGTCCTCTCGCGAGTCATGCGTGCACCTGCAACCTTCGGGGAGGCACTCGCCTCGGATAAGAATAACTCACTGGTACCCGACTGGTTACCACGTCGCTCCGCTATCAGCCCCCTGACACTCTGTGCTCGACGAGAAATCGCGTACAAGGAAATGCATTCGTCAACGTTAACGCGTTCCTTTTTCCTTGTCCGTGTTTTCGCGCTACCGATTCCTGGTGATAATTAATAGACGTGGACCCATCGACGCGAATCGAGGCGAACGGAAATTGCATTTGTACGAAATCGTACAACTCCGCGTTCAATTTGCACGCTGAGTATTCGCTAATTGATAGATCTCTAATCCTATAAGTCTACAATTCTGTGAGGCCGAAATTCTATAAAGCCTGAGGGCGAGGGGCGATGCAGTGACGCTGACGAAACACACCACGAGCGCCCCGCGTCCGGTTTTTAGCGCCGGGCCAGGAGCAAAAGTTGATATCGAACCAGTAAATACTGGACTGGGATCCACCGGATGCCACTCAAATTCCATTTTCACCGCCTTCGACCGCGCTGCCGCTGCTCGCACCAGAGCCCCTCGTTCCGGTCTTATCGCGAGTGTGCGAGCGCCGGTGATCAAACTGTCCGAGCGAATCAACCTGCCGCCCGATACGTGCGTACATGCTTCTTCCATCCCTCTTTCACCCTTTGTGCTCGGCGTATCTTCCATCCCGCTGTCCTGCCTCTCGTTTGCTCGCGTACACACGTGTGTAGTGTATGCCAACAGAAGGCGATGACAGCTCTCGTGACAGCCACGTGACGTTTGCGGATATTCCAGCAGGCATCTAATTATCGTTCGCTACGCGGAATGCGGAACCGTGGAACGTATTCGTCGTGGAATCTTTCTTGAATTTATGTAAGAACGACAGATTATTCCATTTTAAGACGTTACCGTCGCACAAATAAAACTAGTATATCAGTAAATATTTAAGCACGAGGAACACGTTAAGAGTAGAGGCCTTAAACGTTGTAACTATATTTACCAGCGACCTGTAATAAGTGGATTAGGAATTAGTGTAGTTAACGAAAAAAGAAAATTATTCTTTCCTGGTATTTTTCTCTGAAGCGACGGGGTATACGTTTTATCGCGTTACGAATAATCGAACAATACGAACGTATATTACGCAATCAATTATCAGCGTTATATCATTAATTAATATATCCAGCCGTTTAATCTTGCGTAACGTCAATTACACCGTTGTCTGCGCGTTGGTCCATTTTACCTGAGTTATAATAGGAAGAAACGATTTTGGGATCAACCGAAATCTATCGAACAACATTCACCATCAGGTAATCTAAAATCAATTTTTCATACAAAGCTCGGTCTATCAGAAATAGAGAATCCGAAGAATCGAGTCCTTTTATTCCGTTCTCAGTATTCTTAAAACTAGATCCACCGCCTCCGGTTTCCTCTTTTCGCGGCGGCCACGTCCTCCGTACGCACTCCCGATCCACTCTACGGAACCTCCCGCCGCCCCTCTGCATTACTGAAAGCCACTCCTGATCATTCGCGCGTGCTATATTATTTTTACCTCCGCAACTAGAGCGGCGAAACACGCAGGCGTTATCAAACACGGCTTTGTCTAACTTTAATTGAAAATATTGGAATAAATCTTCCAATAGACATTGTTGGACGAAACTACCGCTCTAGCGTGTACAGGCATCACCGTCGGCCAACAGATGGGGGTGAGGCCGGGGCTGCCAAGAGGGTGAGAACAGAGAGGATGGGAGGACGAGGGAGGGAGCGGGCGCACGAGTAACTGGATGGCTGATGAGTGTAACGAGAGGCTCACGAGCATCAACGAGCCAGCCAGAAGAGGTAAATAGCCATTTGCGGTCGAGTTTATAGTGAAGGTTTCGTCGTTCAAAAATGACGGCCACCAACCCGGCCGGGTCATTTCACAATTCGAATCAATCCCGCGCGCGCCTATTTTCTCACCCACCGTCGCGTCGCGTCGCTGGACTGCCGCCTTTATTTCGTAGCCGTCGAAACAGTTTACGACGTATCAGCGTTTCCATCGGTGCAGCAAATGGACTTCGACTGCGGACGGTTCTCTCTCGCTTCGCTCGAACGAGTGTTACATCGTGGCCGCACAAAGTAACTGGTTATTATCGCTGGCTTCGATTGTCTGTATTTTTATTCACTGATTTTCTATTTCTCAGACTCGCGAATCGAAAATTGTTTGCCTCGAGCATCGACCCTCAACAAATAAATGGAAAAATCTCATTTCGACCGTTTCCTATTAAGTATCACTCCATATAAATTTTTTATCAAAAAGAAGAAACATAAAACTTGCAACTGAGCGAGTGAACTGAAAATTAATATTACTATTACATGGAGGAAGTCAGGAGATTTAATCATCTTTCAAAGGTATATCACGTATTCGTAAACATAATTTCCTTGTCCAGTTAATCGAAAAGAAATTACATTAGAATGGACACGTGCATACACGTATGCCGGCCGAGAGAAGAAAGGAGCACCGGAAGCGCTTGAAAATGACGAGTCGAAAAATGGCCGGCCACGATGGCTAGGATTGAACCGTTTTCAGGCTTTCCACGGGCCTCGTTCCGAGTCCCGGTAATGACGATAACGAATCGTCGTAATGGCGGCTGGCAGCCAGGCAAAGCCCAGTCGTTGTCGACGACTGGGCGACAACGCAGCCGCCGCCGCCGCCGCCGCTGCCGCTTTGGAATTTGAAGCGTGACAGGCTACATAGGTAGGCACGAGCAACGACGACGGTTATCGGAGTCGATCATTCAATTTTGCGCTGCAAATTGTCCGCGCCGGAAACTCATATCCGGGCACTTCCGGTTCTCCCCGGGTTCCGCCCCCGGGAAGAGGAGTCTCGCGAAAGGGCGGCTCCCGCTGAATGGCCTGGTTCAAGAGAGAGAGCTAGGAGACTGAACAGCGCAGACAGAACGAGAGAGTTAAAGAGATATTGGCAAGCGAAAGAAGAGAGAGATGAAGGGAGAAAGGAGTCAGGGACAGACAGACTGCGGAGGCTCTGATTCTCGGATGAGCGACGAACACGCTTCCGGTTGAATGTTCGTCGCTCTACTAGGACCATTCACGTCATTACCGACCTTGCCGAGGATCGAGCATCACCTACCTGTCCCCTACCTCCGGGTCCGATTTTATTGTCATTGCCATGATTAGACTGTGGTTGTTTACACGAATTCATGTTTCCACAGGTTCAAGTCAGGAATATAATAATGTATGATACACCCTCCACCTGGAAACCAATGAAACAACTATTCCTTGCTAATTTTATGTATACTTCCAAACTGTGTATGCTTTCGTAGACGTTCTACCACACAAGTGGACGGCCTTTTATACGTATAGATACGGATATCAAACTCGTCGATGCTGACGCAGTCTTGATTTTTTTTTATTCACTCTTTCTAACTTCATGCATGCGGAGTGGGTACGCAGTCCCCCAGAGGTGATAGTAAAATGTGATTATTAAACCTGGAACCATGTCTAATCCGGGCATTACTATTCATCGCCACGCCGCTGTCAAACCGACGGATCTAGCGGAATTATTCTCGTCAATCTGAACTCTATTGGGAGTCGAATTCACGAGCGTACCGCTTCGCGGTCTCTTTGATCTGCTCCTTTCTATCTTTTCCCGATTACGATCTCGTCGAGAACGAAACTACGGAATCCAGGAAAACTTTTACGCGGCTTGTTCCTTCAAATCATTATCGTTGTCAACCGAAGATGTGAAAATTCTTGTCAGTCGACGCAGGAACAGTACAATAGTGGCAAAGGCGGCAAGGACGACTTTGCGACGACGCGACGCGACGGGACGCGACGAACGAGCCGATGCAAATCGGGGTTTGTCGAATTGATCGGCGTTGCACATCGGCACGGTAATTAGGCTACAGGTACTAACTATTATCGGCTGCGCCTACAATTAGTGCCTTTTAGCGTGTCGGGTCTAAATTTTCGAACTGTTTCGGCAAACACATCGAGGCGTTCCGCGTGGATGATGGTACTGGCTTCATTAACGGCTTATACTCCACTTAACCGGCTCGTTTATACGGATTACGGCTCGAGAAAATCGCTCTATAAACTCTCGGCCGCGAACGAAAGTCTCGTAAAATTATGCAGAATTCCAGCCTGGGTCCCACTTATTATGAGAACGTATAGCCAGTCTCGATACAGATTACATGTTTTCCGGTTAACGGAAATTTCATCGACGCACTTGTTCAGCCTCGATTCTCGAACGAGCGCAACCTGTACGTACATTACGCTCGATAATCTCGTTCCTTGGCTCATTGATGAGAATTTGTACGTCCAAACAGTTCTTGCCTCTATTACGCACCCAGGAAATAGAATTTTCAGATAATCAAGCGATACAAATGCAAATATTAACCCCGTTAACGCGGTGCACCCTGCCGCTTCGAAATATTCCGGGCTTTAAATAAACAATCGACGGCTACCAGTTACATCCGCTTAGAACGCACCGATCGATCGACGAACTCCGTTGCCGTTGAACCGACTTCCATTAATCATGCACGATCTCGGTGGACGATACGGGCAAATGTTTTCCCATGATCCTGTCTCGAGCGCGACGTATCTCGCGGTCTCTCGCTAATTTCGCGATGACATCGATTGTTTGTCGCGATTTTCAACATCGATGCAACGCAACCGAGGAGTCTGGGTCATTCCCGTGCGAGTCACGAGCGAATTCGTGACTGCACGCGTGGAGCAAAAGTATCGGGGTTGATCACTATTAAACGATCTGTAATACTTTAACTGCGGCGTGTTACTATTTTTCAAGTTTCTGGTTTGTCTTGTTTCAAATAATTGCGCGTTCGTATAACGCGCATTACCAGATTTCCTCTCTCCTTTCGTCCGCCGCTCATCCTCAATTCGCTAATCAAAGGGACAATTTGTAACGGGTCGGAACGATATCAGCTAATTGGCCAACGTGAAAGGTATTGTAATAACGTGTGCTATTGTATTATGCATCGCGTCTGATCATCCGCGTCGACACTTCGAAGAACAGGGATTACCTGTTATCGTTCGCGCTCCCTGGAATATTCGTGATCAAGCACGAAGCGCAAAAGTAACTGACGTGCTGCGAAAGACGGTTGCCTGTTGGAAATTTCGTCGTCGACGACACACGAGACGAGAGGCTGAGACCGGGACGTCGACGGACGTCATGAAAGCGCTTGCCTTCCGCAAAGGCGTACTCGAAGTGTGCTTTTGTGCGACTCACGATTCACGGTACGGCGCGGCGCGCGGCGTCACGAGAATAGTTACCGGGTGTGTACGTAACATCCAATGGCATTACCCGGCCTCGCCTTGGTTTCTCGCGGAGCGTTTCACTCGAGTGACGCGCCGATAGCGTCACACAGTTCACCGGGATTCGTTTAAACGCGATTCAAACGAAAGTTGGCCAAAGTTGGTCCGGTTATACGGCGGCGACAGTGTCGGAGAGAGCGTCGCGTAGCATCGTCGTCGTATAGCTGGGTCGCGGTGTGCGGTAGTATGTAGGCGCACAAAGTCGCAGAATCGGCTTTAATAAGGTGCAACTTTCAGTTTGCCGGCTCGGCAACTCTCGCGGAGTTTCGCGACCGAAACGCAGAGTTCCCACCCTTGCGAGGGAAGTTCCTCGCTGCAAAAATTAGTAGCGAACATTGTCTCGCGGTCCGTAACATGGATTCGCGGAATTTCGAGGAGCGCAGACGAGAAGCCCACTGCGGTAATTGGAAATTAATGATCGACAATGCGGAATCGTTTTTATCGTTTAGCGGCCGTTTAAGCGCAACGCGACCGGGCGTACGCGTCGGTGGAAAGAAGTTGGCCAGAGCCTGCTAAAAATTCAAAACGCGGGCGAATTTTCCCCGGGAATAAATTTCCAAGTTTTCCGCGCGAGAACAGCCGAGCAAATACGCCGCGGCGAGCTTATCCAACCCCGGGACGAGCTAGAAAGTTTGACGCATTGCCGGTGAATAAACCGAAACGATTGTTACGCAACGTTTGCGGAAAGAAAAAGGGGAGAGAACTTTTTAACCGTACGTCGTGGCGTGTTACGCAAATTTCTATAATAGCGTCCTGAACAAGAGAAGGAAAGAAGATAAGAGGAGCAGACGTGTCCTTTTTTATGTTCACGACGTTGTTTTATCTCTTTAGCGTTGTTCATCGATTCGACGGACAAATCACGATAGGCTATGAACGATAGCCAGTCCAATATAACGACGACGTAAGCAGCCGGTATCTGAGTATATCCACAATCCTGATCAAAAGTACATTTTCGAATAACGATGGCTGGTGAGAGAAGTCTCGAGCTGAAAAATCGCGATGCGCCAATGTCGATAACCCTATCGACGGAAGTCGATGGAAAGGAGTACCCGTTGCCGCTTCGGGGAAGAATGCCGCATCTACGAAGACAAAGCACATCCCTGACTGCTATTATGAACCACCGACGGGGACTCCTTGGGTAACGTCTCTTTCCGTTTACCAGTACATTTTTTGATCATGCCAAAAGCATAGTTTCATCATTCTCTCGTGTTAGGATGTATAAATAGCGAGACAGATTAAATGTACGAGATACTTGAAAAAAGTAAAAATATTATAAAGAACTCCAAATATCGGGAACTGCTTTAAAAAAAAATTAAAAACTGTTGAATGGAACGTTTTAATTAAAGCATGCACGCAAGGGGGAAATATCGTGCATCGCGATTTAATCGTTGCCAGCGTTAATAACGTATCGAAACTAAAATATTATAGAGCGATCCGCGTGGCCAGCGTGAAATACGAGAGCGCAGAAAGCGTATAATTTTACGATCATTGAATTCAGTTTTCGAATGAAATATTTTCGATCTGACGGTCCATCGATTCACTTAAATTTATTTCGTCGGGAGTATTGGCGCGAAAGAGTGGGACCTGTGGATACGGTTAAATACCTCCCGCGTGCTCTGTAAACGAGAAATCAAATCACCTCGCGTATTTTTTAATCACGACCTCCGCCCGCCTCAAATCCCGCGCGCGTGCGAATCGAAACCTGATTTTTTCTTTACGACAGGGCATTGATTTCGGGGATAGGCAGCAACATGTCGTTGCCCTCGTGCATCCCTCAAGACCAAGAATTCTCATCGGCGCAAACGGCATGCAAGACGCCGATGCTCAACAACCAGAATCATTCGGAGAAAAACGATCACGAGACACAGAAGCAGCGACCCAATTTTCTGCAATTGTCGCCTGTGAACGCGGCTTACGTGCCTATGAATGCTCTGGACCCAGCGAGAGGTGAGTGCGTTGATTGATACTCGCAAATCGAACAGTGGAAGTATTTAAGCGATTGTCGTTGGAAATTTCGTAACGGCAGCCAAGCAACAGATGCTGGATCAGCGACCGAAATCGGTGAAGAAGATGAAGTATCATCCGGAAATGGTATCCATCGTGAGCACCCTTTACGCGAACTTGTTGATCGTTATCGGTATCGCTGTTCCCGTCACGGCCAGCGTGACGGAAAGAGTTCCGGCGTCTTTGAATCAGGTGACAAATACCTTCCATCGATCGTCTCCAAATAGTGGACGCCTTTAACGACGGATTGTTTTACCCCGTCCTTCAGGGATTTTACTTGTACTTGTACGTGGTCAGCGTCACATTCGTGATCGCCATGTACGTGACCGTGTGGAGGGACAAGACCGTGAGGAATTCGACTCAAAAGGACAAGAACGAGCAGAGTTTCAAGTTCGACGAGAAAGGCGACCGCGTGAACGTTTGTCAGGTAAAGTTTGCGCTTCGAAAATATTTAATCGCCCCTGAAACGAACTTGGAAATCGCGTTCGTCACCTCTCGCAGCCGCGCGTGTTTGTCTTTGACAAAGCGCAGAAGGCGATCCCCTTCCAGATGCCCAGACTCGTGCCTGCGTAACCTGTTGACCGTCTCAGCTCAATCGTCGGCCGTGACGTCGCGTTGCATCGCATTTTATTTCGTGTCACGAATAATGCCGTACGAAGCATTGATCCATCGAGCGACACTGATTCCCACGGGTCGTGGCACGACGTTTTCTAATTAGTGGTGTCCCGGTTCATCCACGCGCCACGCGCACAATGAAATCTTTGTTTCGCAGACGCAACAGTACGGCAGCTTTTGTCTGAGGCTAGGCGCAGTGGGATTTGGCGCCGGCTCGCTGGTATTTACGGGATTGCAAATTGGGGCGGAAATAGCTTCCGGTCCGTTCAGGGCTATTACACCGGGTGCCAGGCTCCTATTGGTCACGGCCCAGATGCATTTCATATTTCTCAACAGCAAGAGTCTCAGCCTGGCGAAGCACACCGCACTCGCCAAAGTGGGCCTGATGCACATGATCGCGACCAATCTTTGCGAATGGCTGCAGGTATGATTAATAAAACAGCATTGGTCCTCGGACAACCCGTTGAGCTTCATTAAGCAAGCTCAATAATCGAATAACTAAATATGAAACAAAACAGTCATACCGATTGACTAATCAATCAACAGATAAATGAATATGTCAATCAAATCCGTTTTACATCGAAATATACAATAAGAACAGTTGGAAGTAGGAAAAAAGAGAACGCAATATTGCTTTGAGCGTCGCAGGCACTTTGACGATGCTTTAATTCCAGCGAGAACGTTCGGTGTCGATTAGCCGCGTTCAGCATCTATCACAGTCAAAGCCACTGTTTATTCTCATATTCATGGGAACGCGAATCCCAGCTTGGAGCTACGCCTATGCTCCCAGTGTCCTGTTTCCCAGGAAAATCGAAGTAGCCGGTTATCAACGGGCGAGACTATTTGAATGCGATTCCTGGATGTACGCGGATTCACCGCGCGTCAACCGGATCTTTATTTTTAATTTTACATTCCGTCGATAACTATCTGTCATGCATAGTCACATGAGAGCAGAGTAGTTCGCACCGATTTTTGTACTTATATAAAATAGTACTGATTAGATTAGTGTTGTAATTAATATCAGAATTTCTCTCGTTGCTGTCTAGCTTTCAAATATTTCTGACTCGATAATTAATAAAAATAAGGTATCAGCGTCGAAGAACGTGGGAAACGTTCGCGTACGTTGATACTCGCGGGTCGCTATGAATTTTTCACGTCTCCTCTGGCATTCTGTTTGTTTGCGAAGGCGTTGGTCGAGGAGACGCAACACGAAATCGATCAGCTGGGCCACACGCACGACGATGAGGACGGTATACTGAAGTCGCTGCTGAGAGACGCCAGTCCGTTCCTTTTCCCGTGCACAATTGAATTCAGTTTAATTTGCGCGGTGATACTGTTCGAGATGTGGAAGAGGGTGGAAGAGAAGATCGATGCGAAGAGCGAGAGCTCGGCGAGGTCTTCGTATCACCTTAGCATAGATTGCAGCAGCTCTCACAGGTCGGCCCCGGAAATTTAATTAATTCGATAGGATCGTCTGTTAATTTGTTAATGCGATATCGTTGAGATTTTAAGACCGTACACTTTTCACGTTTCGCCTCGAACGCTTTCAGGGGTCTATTCGGGGGGATCCTGGTCGTCGCCGCAACGATACTGAGCTTGATCATGTTTTTCGTCCTGAAGGAGGCCAAGATGAAGATCGCGATAGTCCAGGTGACCGCGCTAGACGGCAGCATACTTCTTTTAGGTAGATAATAATGTCGATTCGCTTCATTGCTTGAAATTGAAGAAGCTACTATTGATTCACAGGCATGGTCGCCTCGGTTGCTGCAACTTTGAAACTGCAGGCTTTCCAACAGAAGATCGTCAAGCCGTCGGATTTGGATACCACTTTGTTGGCCGCGGCTCAAGCTGGGGTCTATCTACATTGTCTGTTCGGAGTCGTAGGTGATATATTAACGATGGGACCGACTTGGACGCTGTCTTTAATCACAGACCTGTTGGCCCTCATACAAAGCACCAGTCAAACGTTACTTATTAAAGTGAGATCGAGCTTCTCCCGTCGTGAACGGATCGTCAAATTATATTCTTGAAACTGTTTCGAATTCGCAGATCGCGTGGGGGAGGCGTTGCTCCAGGAACGATAAACCTGGGAAGGAGTTAATCACGTTCCTAATAGTCGTTAACATTGCTTTATGGACGGTGAATACTCTGGAGAAATCCCGTGCTGGGGTTCGTCCAGATCACTTGGCATTCTTTGGCGTCTGGGCATGGACGATCATAACACACGTGTCTATGCCGTTGGCTATATTCTACCGATTTCATTCTGCTATATGTCTGTTCGAGATATGGAAAACTTGTTACAAGTGCAGATCAAGCAGTGTCGTTCAAACACCCTACTGACTGGATTGATGTCCCTCGATCGGTAGAGGCAAGTTTAATCTAACGAGACTGTTGGGTTAAATAAAAAGGCAAAAATACGTCACGTGTTGACTGTTCCTTCCGCGAGATTTACCCCCGGTTATTATTTAACTAAGCAAGCGAAGAGCATGGTGGCAGACGGAGATAAGAAAATGAAGCGAGCGATCCTTTGCAAATAACAAGGTTACAGGGCACAGAAGACAAACTTGTCCGCGAAGTCTGCTGGCCAGGAAACTTCTGAGCCGGTGCCAGAGACAAAGGACCGTTTCAAAGGCAACGACGTCGGCGTGGACGAGGACGAGGACGCGATGGGCGGCGTAGCCGACGCAAATCGATAGAGGTGCGTACTTTTATCGATGTACCGCACAGAAAAGATAGGCGGTAATGGCGATGGTGGACGGTCGACAGTTTGATACGGTTTACGGTAAACACATTTCGGTAGCAATCACATCACGGGGTAAGCAAGCCCCGCTACAGTGAGAAGTAGGTGATGCCCCAGTGGTTGGAGAAAGCGAGCGAGCGGACGGTGAAGAGCTCTTAGCCAACCCTTTGTTGCTCCTGCCGCCACTATTGCACCCCCCCTACCTCCGTCACCCGTCGGCCCCCTTGTTCTACCACCCTGCCCCGCTCAGGTTCCTACCCTAAACGGAGCGGAGGCGGTACTCTTGACCAAAGGCCTGTGATTTACTTAGCCTATCGAGTGCTCTCGGTCTCATCCACCAAGAATACCATGTGCGCTGCTACGGCCGCGTACTTCGTGTGTTCCGAAATTTCGAACTTAATGCTCCACTTACTGTCGGTCCACCTACCGCGTAGAGATTTCGAGGCCCTGATTGCGCGGCCCGTCTCGTAAATAACATCCCCGACAGGAAAATTGGAACGCGGCTGAAAAACGCGGCTATTTTCCTCTTTCGCTTGTATCGAGAACGAACATGTCGAATTGAAAAACTCGCGAACAATTTCGTTTGGAAAACTTTTTGACAAAAGTAGATATGAAATTTGTAAGACGGAAAAAAATTAGGGTGTTACTAGTAACGATCACTGAATCCTGACTCTCGTGGCTTTTAGTTCTTTCACGGATTTAACGGAGATTTACCTTCTGCCTAAGCAATCCACTGCGGCAAGTGCCGAATACTTTCTACATTTTCCATGAACAATCCACGGTACGCAGTGCTCGGATATCCAAAAATTTATTCTTCGCGATGGACGGTGACGCGAGAAATTCACGTATCAATCTATTGCCATTGGTCGCATTCCATTTACTTAATTTAATTTGCCGTCGAATTTAAAGCTGCCCCATAAGCGACGACCGTAATGATCGTATAACGAGTCACCTATTAATGGTAATAGTTATTATCAGGTTGAATCGGCCACGCAACGAGAATATCGATTATTATTAACGGCTAGATTATTTATAGCGGGGACACCTTGAAAGCGCAATAATCAAGGCGTGTATTCGCATTTAACGTTACACGAATGCAAAACATTTCCTGTGCCATGCCGCGGAAGATCTCGCCTACGAATTTTAAGGCGGATGCATCTTCGACTGGTCATGGTGAAATCTCGTAATTTATCGGGTTTACCAATCCGCCCTCGAAACTCCCGTCGATTCCAAAGTCCACGTCGGTGGAAATGGAACAAGAGTAGGAAGGGAGGAAAGGGCGACAGCGTCGGGATGAGGAAACCTTGATATATCCGCCAAACACAAGGAGCTAGAACGCCTTGGCGGATTTATCGAAGTCGCGGATAATGGATGGTCTCCCAGGCAGGGAAACTTTTTTAAATAATATAACGTGCAACTAGCAGTAAACGCTGTACACGAATTGAAGTACGATTATACCGGGAAAAAACTTTTCCATCTCTTCTTCTTTCCCTTCTTACGTATTAGTAATTACGATAAAAATGATCATTCGTCGAAAACAGCGTTGATAGTCGGTCTCCTGTTCTCGTCGATCGCGAGGAGGAACGTATCGATACGTAAAATCGTCGAACGTTCGAAGGAATAATTATCCCAACGAGAGTGGAGCGTAAAGGAGCCGTCCGAAGGGTCAGTGGCGGTTCTCTTTCCCGACCTAATTACAAGGAGCTTTAATGAATTTTCGATATGCTCGTTGCACGCTACGTTGTAGCATCCTGATAAAAAGATGCGGTAAAAACGGGTGAATTATTTGGTAGCGGTCGATAATGATGAAGTGGTAATGGCCACGGAAGCTGAACAAAACGCGGAAACATCGACGGAAAGAAATGATAAAGAAGGATATTGACAGAGCAACTACCAGACAAAAACTGCCTAAGGTCGGGCAATCCTCAGGAATGTATTTAATTCGATTGGACTCTCTCGCCATCTGTACAGGACGAGGAGGGAGAAAGTGAGGGTGGCAGAGCAGCCTCGCAGCTGAGGGTGAGGGAACTTCTGTTTCCAGCGGAAATGAGGCCTTCGTGATTCGTATTCCCATACTCCGCTGCCCTTTTGCCACTTCTGCCGAACTCTCCCTCGAGCATCCTCTAGCCTCCTGTGTCCGTTCCCCTAATCGATGCCACTGTCGCTCTCTATCTCAAGAGTGATAATGCAAATCGTATTTATATTCCATCTCTCGATGCCAGACAAATATTTTATTCGAGCGCAGTTACTCGCGTGTCACGCGTAAAATATGTAGCGACTACAGTTCATCGAGATCCACTTGTCGCATTATATTATTCAATAATATAGTACATATCCATTTTCCTCAGCTGCTTTTCGCCATCTCTCCGCTATAAACATTCATATAAATTCCGCCAGACTCTCGCTATGATTAAACGCACGGTTGAAAATAATCGAACAGCATTATTATCATCGGTTTTTCGTTTATTGCAATTCACTGAAACGCGTGCTTCTGCACGCAGCGACATGAAACTTTAAACGAATTCCGTTTTTATGGTATCGCTACCGCGACTGCATGGAAATAAAAGCTAAATAAAAAGAAAATAATAAAAAGGAGAGGAGTGCGGTAAAACGAGAAAGAAGGAGGGCGTGACGCGGGAAAATCAGAGCTGGAAAGGCTTACTAACGCTCCCTCCCAGCTTTGGTGAATGTCGCTTGGTCTCCAAGGATGTAATTTTCGCTGTATGCCCGGATTAGAAGCCAGCTCGTCGGGGGCTCCGCCTACTGCTTGATAAGTATTGCACCATACCTCTTGAATACACTAGAACTGGAAAAGGGATTGAGATGATCTCAAAGCGATCGATTGGCTTCGACGTGACGTCATGGGTCACGGCGATAGACGGCTGTTATGTCTCGTTAAAAATCCGTATACCGTAATAGCGCGGATTAATGATAAGACCGTACGGGTGGGGCAACCGCAACTTGTTGAAACGTAAAACCTATTATTACGATACCTGTCGTTTGCTACTTCAGTGAAATTGATTCTGCTTAACACCTCGAGAGAAAAAGAGGAATTTCCTCATCGGTTTTCCCGAAGACCCACATCTTCAGGAACCAATAGCGACATGCGCGCTTTTATGTGGGATTGCGCAATGATTTCAATATCATTTAATACGCGAACCAAATTTTAGATGACGAGTTATATGGAAGTTATATTATTTTGAAAATTTTGAGACAATACCGGATGTTACGAGTTTCAATGAAATCAATATCTATTTAAAGTACAAAAATTGTTGATTAGAAAAGTGAATGACGTGCCCGAGTCTTCAAGAACTGAAAGGACAAAACTTTTGCTACGCGGTGTTTTTTCAAAATCAGGTAGACGAATCATTGAGAGATGTGGTAAAAAATAAATTTCACGGTAATCTCTTTTAAACATCATTAAAAATTACGTGGCAGCTGGTAGGCACGATTTTAGTTCTTAAATTATCGTAATAGGTGGCTAAAAGAATAGATAGGAGAAGTTATTAATTATTACATGAAATTCCTTTATTTAGGGCCTTAAGACTAAGTTACATTGTCATTAATGCATAACCGACAAAATAAGAAACTTTAGGTCATATTTTACAGGTACAGCTTTTGCTGTTCGAGCTCAATATGCGCAGCAGTGGAAAGCATATAATGCTGATGCGATAACATCTTTTTTCAAAAAATTTTAGCTCGTTACTCCACTGTCCATATGCTGCCACGACGCTTAAAAATATGCCACTGATTTTTCCAGTGATACTTTAACCACAAATTGTTCATTTGTCTTTTATTCACATACATAGTTGAACTTTCATCGACTTCGGTATTTTGGATGGTTCAGATGTCTGTGGCAGCCGACACACATAGTTAATGACATGTTGAAACGTAAAACCTATTATTACGATACCTGTCGTTTGCTACTTCAGTGAAATTGATTCTGCTTAACACCTCGAGAGAAAAAGAGGAATTTCCTCATCGGTTTTCCCGAAGACCCACATCTTCAGGAACCAATAGCGACATGCGCGCTTTTATGTGGGATTGCGCAATGATTTCAATATCATTTAATACGCGAACCAAATTTTAGATGACGAGTTATATGGAAGTTATATTATTTTGAAAATTTTGAGACAATACCGGATGTTACGAGTTTCAATGAAATCAATATCTATTTAAAGTACAAAAATTGTTGATTAGAAAAGTGAATGACGTGCCCGAGTCTTCAAGAACTGAAAGGACAAAACTTTTGCTACGCGGTGTTTTTTCAAAATCAGGTAGACGAATCATTGAGAGATGTGGTAAAAAATAAATTTCACGGTAATCTCTTTTAAACATCGTTAAAAATTACGTGGCAGGTGGTAGGCACGATTTTAGTTCTTAAATTATCTTAATAGGTGGCTAAAAGAATAGATAGGAGAAGTTATTAATTATTACATGAAATTCCTTTATTTAGGGCCTTAAGACTAAGTTACATTGTCATTAATGCATAACCGACAAAATAAGAAACTTTAGGTCATATTTTACAGGTACAGCTTTTGCTGTTCGAGCTCAATATGCGCAGCAGTGGAAAGCATATAATGCTGATGCGATAACATCTTTTTTCAAAAAATTTTAGCTCGTTACTCCACTGTCCATATGCTGCCACGACGCTTAAAAATATGCCACTGATTTTTCCAGTGATACTTTAACCACAAATTGTTCATTTGTCTTTTATTCACATACATAGTTGAACTTTCATCGACTTCGGTATTTTGGATGGTTCAGATGTCTGTGGCAGCCGACACACATAGTTAATGACCATACCTGAAACAAATTGAAAATTTTACTTAGACACAAATCCGTGTACATACAACTTTTATTACACGTATGAAAGTGCTTCCTCCTCCAAAGAAAGTTGTGCATAATATGTTGTAGATTGTACTCACTTCTGAAACTCCCACTCTCTGTTATCAAGCGGGCAAACTTGCCGAGTCTTTAGCCAACGTGAGATGCAATGGAAATGGAATGCATGCTACACAGAGGAGTGTCAGAAAATTGATTAACAATTATTTAATTTTTCCTCAATGTATATCATAGAAATAACTATGTTGCTTACATTACACACACCCCAAGCTACAGTGCATTCCTCACTAGTGGCTGATGCTTGATTCGCTTGACACTCAATGCATAAGTCCATTATATGATTGCGGCAAATTGCACAATTATCAACCACAATATCTATAAAATAATAAATCATACAATCAACAATAAACATAATGGATATTTACATACTGTATTGTAATTGAAGTTATTTATGCAATAATTTTTCTGAATACGTACCCCATGCCCACAGAGCTACAGCATTCCACTGAAATAAAAAAAAAGGCTGGTTCTTTATTAACCACTATAAATAAGCTGTACAAATGTGTATGACAAAATTTACGATGCTAAATTGAGGTTAGGATTTACGAATCAATACTTTAAAATGAAAGGAATTCACGCGAATTTTATAAAATGTATCATTTGGTTCTGCATTTCACCTTCTTCACTTCAAAACGTTTCTTCTCTCCTTTACTACTGCTCGAAGTTGGTAAATCATTTTCTTCATCGTCAATTTCCATTGCCGACGCCATGTTCAAATTTTGATATCTGAAGCCAACTGATATTTAAGGGTATAAAGGAGCGACAGAGTCGGACAAATATGTCAATTCCAAATTGATTTTGGAGGCCTTGCGCGGAGAAACTGAGAAATTACGATCTGTTATAAAGAGCAATTTTTCCTGTATTTAATGAATTCGCTAGTATTCATTTAAACATTAGCTTTAATTTAGGCATTAATTCATTAAAATCCATTCAACAGAAACAAAAGGTATCATGTTAAAGTTATGTATTTAATTACATATAAGAAGGATAAAAATTGATGTAGAGTACAGATATTTGTTAAACAAATATTTTATTTGTATCATAATGCAGAGAGAATTCCCTCTGTAGCGAGCATCTTTGTTAAACTGTTCGAAAAAGGCCGCTTATTCTTGTATAATACATACAACCAATCATATTGTTTCAACAGACTGTATATTCGCGAGCACCGTGAGGACCATCGTAATATACATGATACGTAAGCTAAATTTTTTAAATTATTAAGCATTTTCTGTACGTCACAAATCGTTGCATATCATTCTAATGAACATTTTGACTTTTTACGAAAATTATGTTGAAAAATGAAGGAATACATATTGTAAAAAGAATACAGTGTTGATATATCGATGCCAGGTTACAGCATTAGAAGAATTGATTGACGTGACAGTTGCCCGTATCGTTGGTAAATTGGCTTGAAAAGCATTTTACTTTTGTATCGGTGGTGTTTTCTTATAATCTGTAACACTACACGAAGCGTATTACAAGATGAGGCGAAAGGCAGGCGTTGGAGCGATTCAAAAACAGAAGCTAGAACAAGAGAAATATAAAGACAAGGGGACGGAGATCCAAGAGAATCAGTTTGAGCAAATGACGAAGCAAATGGATACATTCCGCGTCAATCTAGAGGAATTTGCCACGAAACATAAGAACGAAATTAAGAAGAACGCAAGATTTCGGCGACAATTTACCGAAATGTGTGCGTCAATTGGCGTGGACCCTTTAGCCTCTGGAAAAGGATTCTGGTCAGTTCTTGGCATAGGAGAGTTTTATTATGAGCTTGCTGTCCAGATTGTTGAAGTTTGCATGGCTACGAATTACAAGAATGGTGGCCTGATATCGTTAGACGAATTGAGAACAAGATTGATACAAGCAAGGGGAAGACGAAAAGAACATCAGGAGATAACTAATGATGATTTATTGGCTGCAGCTAAGAAGCTTAAGATCTTTGGGAATGGATTTTCTATTGTTCCCATTGGAAGAGGAAAATATTTAGTTCAGTCCATCCCTGGTGAATTGAGCATGGATCACACTGCTGTATTACAGCAAGTTAGTCTGTCTGGGAATGCATATGTTTCAAAGTCTATGCTGTGCAAGGAATTGAAATGGGAAACAGACAGATCACAGAAGGCCTTAGATCACATGGTGAAGGAAGGACTGGCCTGGTTTGATGAACAAGGAGAAAATGAGATACTGTATTGGTTTCCCAGCTTATTTACTGCCTGCATTGTATCTACAGAGTAAGCCTAATGTTCACTTCACTATAGATAGGAATTATTGAAAACAGAAAAAGTATCTGTAGTACGAAATGTATTTTTAATGTAAATAAATTTATACACTCTTGTAATATTTACATAGTTAGATATGTATTATAAAATAGGAAAGAAATATTGTCATCTAATTTCGTTTGGTTCATTAAATCTGAAAAGAATTAAATTTTGTTTAGTACGGTATTAATAACAATTACCGATATATTTATATGATAAGCACACACCGCTGTATGTCTTGTACAGCTTGTTGTGCCAGCTGCTGTTTGCAATTTACTAATTTCTCATTTAATTCGTTATTTTCTTTTTGTAATACATTTATCTTGCTCCTGAATTCTTTTGACCTGAGTTGAAACTTAACTGTTAAAGATTTTGCTTCATCTCTCCATCTAAAATATAAGATAAGATAAACATAAGACTCTACACTCCATACTACTGCACTTGTTCGCATTTCTAAATTACATACCGTTTACTTAGCTTCTGATGAACTTGAACATGATTGATTAACTCTCTTGTCTTCCTATCGTATTTCTCCTGCAATTTGTTTATATGATCTGATAACACTGATTGACAACAATGACATTTACTTTCCACCCTGTAAAGAAATTATTACGTATTATGTTACATGACCTAATACAGTTTTATATTTACCTACGTTATATCAAATTTAGACTTGTCTTTGGGATCATACGGCTTTACTTCATCACTTATGTCATCTTTTAATCTATTTTCTCTTACGTAAGTTGCTTTATGAAGATTATTTTCCAATTCATGAATTTTATTTTCTAGAGAATACCTTTCGTTATGTCTTTTCTGTATTTCAGACTCGAAATCATGTTTCAGTGATTTCAATTGAGATACTAGATTTTCTTTGTCACCTATCGTTTTGGCTATCTGATTCTCTAAGTCAGAATACTGTTTCATCACGTCCTTGTTATTTCCCTCGCCTCTTTTTGTCTGATCCCGTATACTGCTCGTTTGTTGCTGCTCTAACTTCTGTAATTTATCATTTGAAGTTCCTAGTTTATTTTCAAGAATAACAATTTTCTCTTTCAACTGCTGAATTTCTACATCGTATTTGTTGTTAAACATCGGTTCGCCATTGTACATTTGTAACTGAAGTTCCATGCGTTTAGCTCTCTGCTCGTATTCTAATAACTTAATGCTCGAGTCTCTACGTATTTTGCTTAATTCCTCTTCGGCATATTTCAATTCCCTTTTAGTCTTTTCTACTACCATCGTTTTCTCTTTCAGCTCTGTTTTGAGTTCATTGATCTCAGTAACATACTTTTTTGTACTTAATTCAATTTCATCTCTCATTGTTTTATTCAGTTCTTGTATCTTCGTGTCATATTCGTTAGCTATTACATTTAATCTCTGCTCTGATCTGGCCTTCTCTTCGAGAACAAGAGCTTCACGATGTAAGGCCAGATCTTTTTCCCTAACTGCAGACTCTATTAATTCGATGGCTTCTGCCATCTTAGTTTTTGTTTCCTTATCCCTTTCTACTACATTTTCAGCATATGCCTTAACTTCAGTTAACTTTCTCTCCAATTCCATTTTAGCTTTTGCTATATTATTACTTTCTGTTTTAGCATAAGTTAATTCCTGTTTCATTGTTTCTATCGTCAACTGGTTATTCCTGTCTTTTAAAACATAAAAATGATATCCCCATTTGTAACGAATAATTGTGAATATATGTTACTGACCTTTATCTTGAAGACTTTTATATTTTTCCAAAAGTTCATTGTTTTCCTTAGTCAAATTATCAATCTTTTCGTTACTAGCTTGATACAATGCTTGATATCTTACGAAACTATCTCTAGCTTGCGCAAGTTTTTCCTCCAGTATTTTAATAGCTTCTGAATAACTTCCTTTAATGGCATTCGCTTGTTCTTGATAGAATTTTTGGCCCCTTCCATCCTTTCTGAATACTTTTAATTCATCTTCTAAGGCACTTATAGTGTTCAAAGAAATATGCCATAACTGCATAGCCGAATTCTTTTCTGTTTCCAACAATGCAATGCGCTCTTGTAAATTCGCCAGTTCCTTCTTGTACACATCTTGACAGCCGCATTCCTCTAAATGAATACGATTAAAGGATTCTTTTATATCATTAATCTTTTGATTCTCATTTCTTAGCGTTTCTAATTCGGCTCGTATATTATCTTGTTCAACCTGAAATCACCGTAAGTATGTCATAAATAAGAAATTAATTGGTTTCGTACAGAAGTAATACCTTGCATAATTGCAAATTCCTTTTGAGCTCATCCACAATTGCGTGTTGTTCTTCAAATATCGCATCGTGCTTGTCGCTATTGATACAAAAATTTATTTAATAACGAAGCGTACGAGGGAATACATAAATTTTTGTCCTTAGTACCTTCGTTTCTGAGTTTCATAGTGGTCTGCATCGAGCATTTTATCACAAAAATAGTTCACACTTCGGAGTGTCACGTGACGTATAACAACATCGTTAAAAATTAAATAGTGCAATTAATTTGTGTCTATTGTATTCTACGATATTCCAAGTCTAGCATCGTTTAAAGTTCGCCATGTAAGCTGATGTAAACACAAACAATACCCCTTCTTCTGCAAGGAAGAACATGGTTTCACCATCTCTCGGCAGAAGTCGATAATTTGTCGTTACTTTTTATAACGAAAAATGCGAAATTCAGATTTTTAAGCCGCATTGTTAAATCATTGAGCGGCCAAAAGTTTGACAGAGTAATTTGAACCGTTTTATATTTAAATGTTTCCTAGTAAAGTGTTCGAGTTTTCTGAAAATCAATTTCTGACGATTAGTACTAGCGTCGTACCGCTAGATGGTCATATAATCCATAAATTGAACTGAACTTCGTTCTCTAATTATCCTCTGTCTCTTTAATTGTTGTAAATAATTGTGCGATGCAGGATTCAACTTATTCTTTCGAATCCACGTAAGTTTTAATTTAAATCTTCAATCAATTGCAATTTTTATTTCAAAGTGAAGACATTCGCATCTTTCTGTTTCATAATATTGTAAGCGAAGGCAAAAAGCAGGTGTTAGAATAGTGCGAATATCTTTGCTAATGATAGACAAATTTTAATAATTTAACGTAACCTAAATTAAAACTGAAACTCTAAGAAGAATTTCGTTTATGTCTGATGATATCTAGCTTTTAACTATAAGCAATTGTTTTGAGATGAATTTCTATTATAAAAAGCAACTTCTCCTGTATTTATTGAATTCGCTAGTATTCATTTAGATATAAGCTTTAATTTAGGCGTTAATTCATTAAAATTCATTGACTAGAAGCACGGTATCTTTTTAAAGTCGTATATTTGATTACATATAAGGATAAAAGAAGGATAAAAATTGGTATAGACTACAGATATTTGTTAAAAAAATATTTTATTCGTATCATAATACGGGGAGAGTTTCCCCTTCAGCGAGCATCTTTGTTAAATTGTTCGAAGAAGGCCGCAGTCGGCTTATTCTTGTAAAGCACACGATTCAGATAGTCCTGATGGGATTTGTGCTGTTCCGCGAGTTCTAAATTTTCTTTGGCTACTTGCTTCTTAATCTCGCTGCAACCGGACAATTAATTTAATTCCCAGTCTCCCAAACGGAATTGCATACAGTCCGGTGGACGCTGTGCGAAATCTACTTACGCTCTCTTCCGGTCAATTTCCTTCTGATACGAATCCGCGAGCTCCGCCTGGGTGTTCATTAACCGGTCCCACTCCTCGTTTCTCTGCCTCTCCTCGAATTTCATTCGCTAGAAAAAAAAGACGCTTTCCTTGAGTAAGCCAAACTTTTTGCCCCTTTGGCCGTGCCCTCTCACGACCGTGACAACGGCTGGCACTGGTTCAAAACGTTTTCCGGTGGAGGCGAGTCGTTAAAATCGGGCGCAAAACAACCGTTCCATCGTTTTACCTCGATTTCTTTCAACTGGTTTGCTTGCGCTTCCCTGAAAGCCCTGAGCTCCTCGGCAGTCATGCCCTTGTAACGCGTGGCCAGAGGTCTGTGCGGTCCACGGGTACTCTCCGCCTGCTCTTTGGCTTCGGTGAGGAAGTCTCCAGTCACGTGATTGTAGATATCCGCCTTCTTGTCCTCCTCCTCTTGAAGGGCTTCGCAGCGGCGGCGGTACTCCTGCTCCTCTGCCTGTCGGCAACCGAACGAAAAATAGAATAGCCCATCGTTCGACCAAAGCCCGCGTCCAACGGAGCGTAACGACTCTACAGAAAAAAAGTCAAGGACGGGGAACGTGTCGTGAAAGGTGATGAGGAAGCGACTCGTAGATACCGACAATTAACAAGGTTCGTGTGATCGCCGGATTCGCCCAACGACGCTCACCTTCGAGGAAGATATACGTTAAACAAGGAAACGAAACTGATTCATTCATTAATGCTGCGACACCGAGTGAATTTCATCGACGCAGAGCGGTGGCGAATCGGGAACGACAAGATCTCGCCATCGTTGAACTTTGACATTTCACGGTTCAACATTGTTGGTCGTCCGCGAGCGCAGCGAACGAAAGGGGAACTTGAAATCAATTAAAGCGATGAAGATTCATCGAACGTTAATTATCCAAGTTCTCACTTTCTCGTCGTCCGTGAGCATCTAGGAGAGAAACGGTGGAACAACCGGAACCTCGTCGACGCGAGAACGAGATCCGATCTTTTGCGCCGGCCAGAGAATAGAATCGTCAGAGGACGAGATCCTTATCATTTTCTTGCTGTTCCTGTCTCCGCTCTGTCGAGGGATTAACTAAGTAGGAGAAAGCCTTACCAGGGCTCGATTAAATCGCGCGTTGGCTTCGTTCAACCTTCGACGGCAGTCTCGTTCCATCTGATCCAGCGTTCTGGCCCGCTGGTCTCTGGCGATGACGGCTGCCACATATGCATCGTCCGCTTCCTGAAGCTCTCTTTTTACCTGCACGCGCTCGCTCGTTTGCTTCTCGAGCCACCACCTATACTCTTCCCTTTGCACCTTGGAACGTTCCTTCGGATCACCGGCTTCGCCCTCCAATCTGTACAGTTGGACGATCAAATATTTAAAAGCACTCCCCGTCGAGACCATCGAGAATTTCGCACGGACGAAATTGACAGAGACAATATTTACAGCTGCGCGAAACCTCCGCCGATGGTTAGGTCGCGATCGCCTTTCTCCAGATCATAGTTCTGACGATCCTCAGGACGCTGATAACATTTTCTATAGTCCTCGATTTCTTTTTCTATTCGTCGTTTCTCCTAAAAAATAGGACAAGAATTAAACGTAACGTTAGCATCGCTAGACGTGTTGCGAAAAAAACAGGCAACGTTGCGTTTCAACGAACGTTGAAATCTTTAAACGATGACACTGCAAAAGGCGATTAATCATCCGGCCGTTTGTTTTTTCCATAGTTAATTGACAGTTTACCTCTTCTTCTTGTTTCTGCCGTTGCACCGCGAGCTGACTACAGCGAAGCAAATTCTCGTCGAGCTGGGATTCTCGGGCATGTTCCAGCTCACGTTGCTGCTTCTTTTCCTCGACCTGTTTGTCCAAGAATTCCTTGTCTATCTGTAAACGTATTGCAGGTGAAAATCGTTATTACCGGACGTTCCTCAAACGTAGATCGACATAGATCGTTCGTTTATCGCACGGTTATTCGTGTAAACATTTTTGTTTGTTGTGCGACGAGTAATCTACAGTAAGTCGAAGCATTCGCGGAAAACACTTTGACCCGTCGACTCACCCCGATTAATCTGAACCGCGAATTGAATATCCGTTCTTTCCTCTCCGCGTCGGTCTGCCGCCTCCGTTGAATGGAGGCAGCCAATTTTAGGTCCTCCTTGGTCACAGTTTGAAACTTCAACATCGTGCCAAATTCGATTTACTCGAGGACGCAACCGAGAACACCGTGTGAGCTTAGCTGCGTGAATCGCGTGGAAATCGTTACCATGGAGCGTTTGGACGATAACCACGCAGCGCACGGCTCCCACAATCGTGGTTCGATCGTTCCTGTCTTAAACAGAAGCCCGATAATTCCTCCTTATCGTCCGAAATTCGATAACCTCGTGCTCTGCGTTGGATTTGCCTGATCATCTCGTCGATTTTGACGATTCGACGAAACGCGATCGCGTTCTAGTTTAGGCGGCGTTCTATTTGACACACATTCGGATGCCAATTGTCCGGTGGCTAAAAAAGAAATGATCGCACAAGAGAGTCACGTGAAGAACATCTGTTCACAGCCGTAAACATGTGTTGTGCTATCTGTTGATTCGGCGAAAGTGATTACGGATGACTCGTGACTGCGCGATCTTGTATATCACGTTTCTCCCTCTTTCTCCCGAAAGACGGACGAGCGCATCGATCCTGTGTAGGTACATACGTGCACACGCTGCACGGTTTGCGGTATGTCATCGTCGAGAATAAAGAATGAATTTAGAGTTTGCCTCCTTTGATTTCTTTGTGCGAACGTCCGTTTCGCGTGACACCGTGACTCATGGACAAAGTTTCGTTTCGTTTCGCGCGTTCTTTTTCCCCCTTTTCAACAATGAGAACGCGGTAACGAGAACGGGTCACAAATCAAATAAACGTACATATATGTATGAGTATGCACTTAGAACGGTGTCGAAGGCATGGAAGCCGTGACGCGGTTTGTTAAATATATGTTCCAGGCTTAAGTAGTTTCACGCAGATCACGAGAAGCTCGAATAAATCGTCGTGAAAGGCAAAGCCTCTTTACGGCTTCCATCTGGACATTGGACGAAAAGAATATTATATGTTGCTCGCGCACATGTAGCTGCGTGGGATAGATTTTAAGGAAGTAAATCGCCCCGCTTCCTCGTCTATCGATCGCCGCGAGCCGGGCAATTTGTGTCGCTTATTTCTCTACGGATTTTGCACTAGCGACGGCTAATACTCTTAGAAAGTGGAAAAAGGAAGTCGACGATAAAAGGGAAAGACGCTGATCCATAGTGGCAAAAACAACACTACCACCTTTCCCGAATTTATTTTCATTAAATCACTTCGTGACGATATTTCAATATCAATCGTTTTGATGATTCTCGCTTGGCTCTTTCAACGATTAACTCTCATGAGTAATCGAACAACGAATGAATAACGATCTAAAGTTTTCGCACGACGCAAATAAACTTTGCTCCCATCACGGCGTTCTTCAATGCGTCGCCTTGTCAGAATACATTTACGTGATAGTTGCGCTGAATTCGTGGCTAATGATCCTAATTGTTTTTTACCTAATGGGGAAACGCACGTGTCATCGGTCGACCTATTTCCAACGCATCGGCCCACATGGCCACCGATTGTCAGTGCACAAGTGCAGTTACACAAATAATTGTTGTATGATACGCAGAGAAGTTAGAAGAGCGGATGGATCGTTTCTATTTCTATATAAAATTATATATTTACGTAACACGATCTGCTAGAAGATATTATGAAAACAAAATGAAGCGATAAAGTCACGTATTGCGAAACTATCAGTTCTTGCAATAATTCCATTGTACACATCTGTTTCAATTGATCGATTAATTCTGTGTATTTTGTCGGAGTAAGGAAGAAAGACGAGTAGCGAAAAACGTGTAATTGAAGGAAAATTCGCGCGGGAATTCGCGGAAAAAAGCCGTCCAAGTTTTCGCGGTACTTTGCACGAGCGACCTAGAGAGAAGATGCCTCGAAGCGAAGCGAGACTCGACGGCGCCTGCGTGGCCATGTGACGTCATTGGCGAACCGGGCAGCTCGTCCGCTAGACATTCAGTCTCGCCTCAGCATCGAACGAGGTTGAACGTATTTATGGTTTGTGCACGTCACTCGATACATTATCACGGAAGTACTCAAACCTTGAGAGAGTACAAGCATCAAATCCGACGTGAACCAATACGAGCTCGCAGAACAGACGGAATCGCGCGAGATCGTAACAACGTGTTTACGTCAACAATTTGCCAGTCTTTCACCCAGAAGGGATCGCTGAGGTCTAGATCGATTCGCGCTTCGTCAAAGGACGAAAGGTGTAAACTAGAATCAACGAAGAAAGAAAGGAGAAGGGGAATACCGGGGGAATATCCAGAAAAACTAGTTCCCGCCGTCATCCAAACGGACAATTAGCACGCGCTCTCATCTTGTTCTTTTTTTATTTTTACGTTCGCGTTGCAATCGTTACGCGACGACGACGATTGCTCTCTCTTCTCTTGCACCGTTGCAATTAAGGTACTAGTGACAAACACGTGCGGTCGGGAGTGTGCGAAAGGAAGATTTTTCTCGACGAGAAACCAACCAGTCAAATTGACTCGCCCTCTCGTTCAGACGATGCCTCTGTCGTTCGACGGGTGACAATCGTTGTAGAACAGGACATACTAATCGCGATACGCGTTCGTATTCCATTCGCATCAGAGATAGTGCATTCAACGTTCGGGTACGTTACCGCGCGCGTCGACCTATCGTTTCCCTTACTATGCACACTGAGAGGTACTCGACTACTATGAGAGAATGAGCTGCTCGGTGAAGATATCGTGTAGCAAGAACTGGAGCGGATCGCAACGGAGGATCAACTCCCTCGCGGAGGAAACGACGTGCCCTGCGGCTGGTAGTGCGAGCTGCGCCGGTTTAGCGGCCCAGTCGGCCGCAGCGTCGACGTCGACGTCGGCCGCGTCCACGGTGACCACCGGAAACGCTGTGACCCCGAGCACACTGTACAACCAGAGGCTCGCGCCACCGCGTCCCGCCAGATCGGTCGCTGCTAAAAAAGGGGAGGATACCACGAAACTGTTCAAGTACATCGAGGATAACGTCATCGGCAAGAACGGCACGTTCTTCGGACCATTCGGCCGCAGGAAAGGTCAGTGATCAATATAGTCTTTACCCCTACTGCCCTCTCCGAGCCCTGCTACCCCTCGCTCCCGCCAGGAACCCTCACTCGGAGCTTCTTTCTTTCTCTATCACCCGTGAATTTCTCGTTCTCTATCGTCTCCTCTTCCTCCTCTCCCATGGCCGACACAGCACGCATCGGCCGCGACACGAAGAGGAGCGTCTAAGCCTCGTACCACTGGGCTCTCTTACTCTCGTTAAAGTCGTCAACATCGATTCGATTATCAACGAAGAGTCCTATCAATAAAATCGAAGCTTCTCGTAGCTTCGATAACGTCAACTCGTCCGGGTAGGTCGAGGGTAACGCTCTCTTTATTTATAACAAGTTATTTATCAAGGTGGAGTCACTTCTATAAACAGTCGACTCGCTAATTACTTAAATGCGTATGAAAAATTGAGGAGAATGATCTTTTCTAAACCACTTCTAGTGACCGGGATCGAGTCGAATATTCGTCGGGTGGGATCTCCGTCTGTTGTTGTACTCCGTCTTATTCTCTGAACTTCAGAACGTCTCGCCTAAGCATATACCTACACGCCTAGCTATAGAACAAAGACGAACAAGTTTTTCTAGATCCGGGCCGGTATAGCTCTCGCGGTTTCTCGAGCCGGGCGCCTCTGCTCCAAAGTCTGTTTCGTTACACGCTGGACGGACCACAGGATACCTTACAAGTGTACTTGGCGTATACCTTTTGTAACGTGACACTACTTCAGGGAGCGCGGAAACCTCTCGCAAGTAGTATCTTCCAATTAGGAACATAAAAGCGCGTTGGATGCGCTTCGTGGCTACTCTAATCGATAACGCAGAAGTAGATTAACTTGGTTATCGTAGCGTCAACTATTTATTGCTATCACTTTCGGGCGCACGCGTTTCTGCCAGATTCTGAAGAGCACGGCCCCTCACTAGGGTACTCCATTCGTGAAAAAAAACGACGAATAAGCGAACGCGTGTATACATCTACCGGCGTGTGTACGATGCTTGCATAATTAATTCGCGTCAAGTATTTTGCTTTCGAGCAGCGAGTAAGAGAGGGGGAGTAGGTACGTGTATACGTATCGAGAAGAACGAGTAATACAAACATCAACGTAAACATCGATCCTTTCGCGCGATCATTTTTATTCAATATTCAGAAACGTGAATGGCTCGGAACTATTAGCCTGTGGCTTTTGTGAAGGTCGTCCATTTTTCTGGTTTTTACCGAAATTCACCTTTCGGTGTATCTTTCCAATTTTGTCATAATTTACTATCTACACGCACATCAAGGCCTGCTCGTAAAAACGGAAGTCCCGGTCGTTTCCGGTTGTCACGTAACAACGTTCAAGTCAATTTCACTGATCGATACTCAGAATATACTACATGGAAATGCACGAACAATAAAACGATGTTAGAAATCATTCGAGTATTAGCATAAGGCGTTTACGTTCGGTTGTCGCTGAGAAATCAGAGCGACAACATTCAGCTCGTAATTCAACCGATTAAAAAACACTTTAAGTATTCAACCTTGCTATTTTCTTATAGTCCCTTATTGCCCGCCGATGACGACAACGTGTCGAGATCTCGTGCATAGTTATTTCCTGACCCGCGTTCCATGCAAATAAGTTAGCGCAGGCAATCGTTTTAAACACTTCGCCATTAGAGCGTGCCTCGCGTTCCGGTTACACGCTCGTCGTACCCGATCTAATTTCCTTCGCAAAGCATCTTCGTGCGCGATGAAGACACGTCTCTAACAATCTCAGGTGCTCGTCGACCGATTCGTGCAAATAGTAGATAAACGATTCGACTCGTATCTGTTTTGGTGTCGCAACTATCTAAGAAACTGCCCAGCTCGCGTTCAAGATTATTATTTTCGCGACGCGCGATTAGACTCGCTGACTATTCGATTTTCTCTGTCTCTCTCGTTGAATAATGGATGCATCGGGAGGTGGCTCATAATTGTAAAACGATTATGATGTGTCATCCGCCTGTGATGCAAACGAGCGTCAAGGAAGAATGTTGTTTCTCGTCAAGTATCTGTCGTATGCGAACGAAATCCCATTTGTATTAAGTATTGTTGGTAATTATCGCGCATGCCATGCTCGGACGCTTGTACTTTTCATCTACGATGCTTACGCCAATAATGAATTATCGAGCACATGAAACGTCTCGAGGTATCACGAGATTCTTTTTATAATTCTGTGTGTAATATTACGTAGGAGTATTGCAAAGGGAAAGCCGGACACGTTCGAAGACGAAGTTGGTAGGAGAGCAGAAAATCGGCATCTCCGCCCCTACTCCAACGCGAACGCTATTTTCGCGGTCAGGTTCAAAAATACTGTGTCCATTAATAGATCGCGTAATCTAGCAAACAATTATCGTCATCGCACGCGCTTCTGCTATCCCGCTTGGTCCTCGCCGCGAGGAATACGGCGGTTTGAGTTAATGTGCCATCGGCTTAATACCGTTCGAAGCACCGATATTATTAGCGGTAATGGTCCGGAGCGTGAACGAGCCGCGTGATTCATTGAAGCGGTCGAAAAAACACGTCGGACCAACGGTCGAAAAACAAGTTCCACGGGTCGACGGATGGGCCAGATGTGTGCCGGTCGTTCAATCCGCTAATGCTCCGTTCCGAGAACGTCGATTCGCAAGGTCGACCGTCGTATTCCTTCCCTACGTGCTCGTCGCGAGATTCGGCCGCGTTTAAAAACTTTTGGCATCCATCGCGAAGTATAAATGGAAGGGAGCATGAAATTCACTTCGGGGATGAGACCGGAGTCGCAATGGACGATCTTAAAAATGAGTCACTTCGCTCGAGCGAGGAATGATAGCCGCGAATGCAAGAACGCGATAAGGGGTTTACTACGCGCGAGTAACGTTATCGGAGTGGCCATAGTCAAGGACTCGTGGCGAGTTGAAAGAAAACGAAAATGAAAGTCTGCTGCTTGTTCGCGCTGGCCACGCCATCACCAATGTCGTCACCGAGCAAATATAGGTACGCGAATAGTTTCGTCAAGTGCAAGGTCGATCTGACGAGATTCATAGTCAAATACAGTTCCGAAACCTATTCTCAATTTTGCTGTCACGTGATCAGGAAGTCCCTTCCCTCTTCTATGTAGCAAAAATTTGGAGCAGAAGCGTCGAGCGGAGAGATGCGAATCTGCTGCGATTTGCCACCGTCGCGATTTATTTGCACGTGCCGAGCGAATAAGTTTCTGTTTTTGCTTTTTTCCAAGTACGGCCACGTATCGGCACTCTCGCGATAAGATAATCGTCGGAGCAAATTCCGACGTTGCTCGATTCCACTCCTAAAATTCTTGACTACAACGCGTGACTATTTTCGAGAAACTGTAGCCTGGTCGATCGCACGCCATGTGGAAATGTTCATAAACGAGTGACCCAGTTCGTTCCGCGCACCGACACCTTGTTGACCTAATTCTGGCTCGTCGGACTCATAATAGTGGAGCGACGCCCACGAGCGCCTCTGCTCTAGCGCCATGCAACTTTCCACGGGGTTCCAATTGATCCTTTTCCCATCCTATTTAACACTGAGCATTCACTGAAGCACCATAAACATTGCACGATTTTCGAAATCGTTTCGCGCGAAGCTAATAAAACCGGGCGACATAACGACGAGCATTGTGTCGTGGAAACAACGAACTGCATTCAGTTCGTGATTCCCTTCGAGCGGATTTACGTTCTCCGTATTTCCTCTCTCCGTCTCGCCGCACTTTTATCCTTTTCTCGCTCTCTATCCATTCACGAGCCGCCGTTTGATATTCCAGATAGATCGCCGATAGTCGCATTGAACGAATAACAATTCTCAGCAATTAATTACGTTACGATAGTGGCACCGGTCCGTTGTCGGTGGAAAAATGCAACTCGCGTTTTCGTCACGCTGTTTGTCCACTTCGATAAAAACACGCGGCCGGAATTTGATAAAAATCCGCCGACGAATTTCGTTGCGCAGTCGCTCTGTCTGGCCGTGCCGCACGAGCTCATTCTACTTCAAACGTGCCCACAGTAGAGTAGCTAACAATACCGCGGCGTTTATTCGAATTTCATCTACTGTGCTATACGTATAGAATCAACAGTATCCATTGAGCTGGCTACCATACTATTTCACGTTTTCGAGCATTATTGATATTTACATGAACTTTGCCTTCCGTTGCACGGGTCAAAAATATAGCGAAGACAGATATACTAATATTTATTCACCGCCTTGTTTAATTAATTTTGATAAATGGTCGCTTATTCTTTTGGGAACGTCATGCACTGATGACTGTACTATCTGCAGATTAATTGCGTGGAGAACTGCAAGTGCAATGGTATCTCGTTCACGTGTTACTGCGATGCTACTTTTGGTGTATGAATCCATAATTAGACTCCGGTTTGAGTTGAGAAATAAATATCTGACGATACTGTCAGTGTCACAGATATTTCTTTATGAAATCGCTATTTTCTTTCGTTTTGCATATAAAATATGTTGTTTTGTATTTCTCAAAGTTCCGAAAGTCGACTGGATCGTTAGTTGCTCAACCTCGATTCGCGAATTCGAATTTCGGATAGCGCGGCAGCGGTGTAGAATTCTAAACAGGCTCGCGCGTACAGCGTCGGATTTCGCTAAACTGCGTTTCGCAGATCGTGTATATTATGCACGCCACTCGCCGCTGCGAATCGTTCGGCGAGAGAGAAAGATTCGCCTTACATCATCACAAAGCCGTCTCCCGTGAATCTTGAGCCGGTACTATCATCGTGCACATATTCTATGCACGTACTCTTCTCACGATCTTCACAGTAGCATCTTGATGAGGACGCTCCTCTTATCTTTCTGTCATATATATGATTACATACGATTACGTTGAATTAAAAGATGTTGGTCGTTGTTTCTGCGCATTGATGAGCGATTGAATCACCGAAGTTCGTGCTCGACATATTGTACAGCTATTCGTGATAGTGATAGTTATAACGCTAAAGAGCTAGGCTAACGATAGAAG